TAAATGTTATTAACTGAGCACACTTTTTTAAAAAAATAAAGTGTACTATTCTGACCTTCAGAAGATGCTTAGAATACTAATGAATACATATTTCAGTACTTTTGTTTGCTAGACTTTATCTGTGCTTCTTTTAAAATAGTAGCTTGTTAACATTCTGAACAAAGTGACTATACTTTTTTTTCCAATTTATGTGTCAGTTCTAGTTGTATGTTGTTTTTAAATCTGGGAAGCAGCCTGCAAAAGGCAAAAGATTTGGAATAGTGTAAATCTGATTTGTAAACGTTTGAAAATATTTGTGTTCTAGGTTTTCATGTTTTGTGGAGTTAGTTTTTATAACCTCTTGGCCCTAATGTGAGCAAACTATGACTTCAATACTTGAGGGCACACCCAAATTCCATTGTTTTGGACTTCTAAATTCTCCTTCCAACTATTACAGCTAAACACTGCCATTTAGAAGGAAACAAATATAAATCCAAAAATAGACATACAAATAAAAAACTGTAAAAATTCAATCTAAACTTTACATGGAATCAATCTCAGTTTTTGAACAGTCCTACATGTTGAAATGCCACCGTTGTGAATTAGAACAGTGACTTAGTGCCTTAGATTGTATCAGTCCATAGCAGTTTCCAAAAATGCATTAATTCAAAGTAAATTTTGTGGAAAAACCAATTTATGCTGCAGTATCTATGTCATGCAAATACTACTTCATAGCAATGCTGACAGTACAGCTCTTACCTGAGAAGAAGCACTTAAGAGCATGCAAAGGTAACTTATAGGCTACTTGCACATCATGCTAGGCTAAAATGTGAATCAGAATGTATGCAAACTCAGGCTACCAGATTAATTTAGTAAACTTTCATTCTGGTTTACCTGTATAAACAAGGCTAAAAAGATCTGATACTATGTAGTCACTTTGTGCTGAGATAGGTGGCAAACAAATTTAATAAATAATGATTTTTTTCACCTACCCCTTAAAAAAATAATTTCTTCTTGTTTCCAGTGAAAAAGAAAGTTGAACAGCTTAGAAAGAAGACATTACCTTTAGCCTATCAATTGCTCTTGATACGGCTTGGAAATTGCAGTTTCAAAAGTTGTGTAGGAAGGGGTTTTATCTCTGAGTGCACAGAATTCTTTTTTAAAGGTCTAATATGGATTCAGGATTATGGGCAATTAGGAGACAGCATCCTTAACTACAAAGCTTATGGAGGCAGAAAAAGAAGGTATATGCAAGCCTACTCATGCTACGATATTAAACTGAGGTTCTCTGTTACAAGCTGAGTCTCTTGTATTCTGTAATGAAAACATAGAGCCAACCTTCATCCAGGAACTTACCACTAAAGTATTTATCAATTGCACAGAAAAGTACTATTACAATCTAGTGGTTGGTAAGTAAAGGTGAACAGTGCCTGAAGCTTTCAAAAAAATTATAATTTCTTTAGCATGAAATAATACCATACTAGTCATGTAATTGCAGCTTTAAAGGACGATTATTTAACTGTTACTGAAATCACTTACCTCCAGTGCATGTTTTAAAATAATAAAGTTGCTTTATTTGAAATGTAGCTTCCATATAATTTGTCACATGAGATAAACTGAAGACTTACAATTATTCACTGAAAAAAAATACAAAACAAATAATTGGGCTATACATTTTTTGATTATTTGGAAGCACTTTGGATCTCCCATAAAAAAGTATTTTGGCTGTTTTATACAACAGCCTCTATTTTGTTTCAGGCAGCAACACAAACCTAAAAATGAAGGTTGCTGCTTTAAGAAGTCCATTCATGATCTCACTTTCAAACCAACTTTTTGAGGCTCAAGTGGAATTTGTGTCTCACAAACACTTGAATAATTTCTGAAGCGCGCAGAGCCCTGGCAAATAGATATCTAAATTAGAAATGCATCATTAAACCTCCTGTCACTCCAACATCAGAAGTTTCCCTTCCACACTGTTCTTTAACACTTTGTTGCCAGATACAAAGCCCATTGTTGTACCTTCTGAACTTGAAAACCAAGCTTGATATCACTGCAGCACATCAAAACTTTGAAGGAAAAGTTATTGTTTCTTGATTAGGGAGCCGCCTCCATACTGTTTATGGATTCATTCTTCCACATCAATAGAAGTTTTATCTGAAATAAAATCATAAAACAGCCATTCTGTTTCTATTCTCACATTTTGAATAGAAATTACTGAGGATCACATAATAACTATATTATCTGAAATGGAGCACATTATTCAAATTAGGCTTATACCCTACATCAGGGCTGTCAAACTTCCAGTCCGCAGGCCAGATGTGTCAAACTGGCCACACCCACACCATTTAGCGAAGGAAAAAAAGTCCCAATAAGTCATGTCATCATGACAATGTGAATTTGACGCTCCTGCCCTACATAAATAAAAGCACGCACTAATTTTTTTTTAAAAAAAAAACATGCTGATGCAGCATTTTTAAAGTAATATGGGTAGTCTTGGATTTACAACCTATTTGTTTAGTGACTGAAGTTACAATGGCACTGGAGAAAAAAAAATGAAATGACCGTTTCTCGCACAACGGTTGCAACATCCCCATAGTCACATGATCAAAATTTGGACGCTTGGCAACTGGGAGAGCCAGTTTGGTCTAGTAGTTAAGGCGCAAGCTAGAAAGCAGGAGACTGAGTTCGAGTCCCACCTTATCCATGAAAGCCAGCTGCGTGACTTTGGGCTAGTCTCCCAGCCCAACTCATCTCACAAGATTGTTGTTGTGGAAAAAATAGGAGGAGGAGGATGTGTTGGTTATGTTTGCTGCCTTGAGTTATGTCTAAAAATAATAAAGATGGAATCCAAACAAACAAACTGGTATGTATTTATGAAACTGAAGTGTACTGGGGTCATGTGATCACCTTTTGTGAAATTCTGACAACAAAAGTCAGTGAGGAAGTCAGATTCATTTAACAAGTTTCATGTTACTAACTTAGCAATAACACTTAATATACTGCTTCACGGTGCTTTTACAGCCCTCCCTAAGCAGTTTACAGAGTCAGCCTATTGCCCCCAACAATTTGGGTCCTCATTTTACCCATCTCGGAAGGATGGAAGGCTGAGTCAACCTTGAGCCGGTGAGGATCAAAGCCCTGGCAGTCAGCAGAGTTAGCCTGTGATACTGCATTCTAACCACTGCACCACTACGGCTCCTACTGTAATAACTATAGTAATTCACTTAACAATTGTGGCAAAACGGGTCATAAAACGAGGCAAAACTCACAACTGTCTTGAGGTTGTAGGTTGAGGACACTCCAAATATATATATTTTGCATTTACTTATGAAAAGGCCTGTTTATCCTACATTGTATTATATAAATCCAGAAAATAAGGAGGGGAAAAAAATCCAAAGAGCGGGACAAGGAAAAAGAATAAAAAACAAGGGATGCAGAGAAAGCCAGTCACTCATGATTCTTAAATCATGTTATTCTTATTTTTCTGTGAAATGCAGAGTATTCCAGAAACAGATGTAGCTGCCTAGTTTACTCTCATCAGACAATTGGCATCCTTAACCACTGTAGCCAAAGCCACACAGGCTGTGCTTTTTGGAGAATGGTTTTACTGTGGAGCCCTTGGTGCTCTCTGAGCTTGTTTGTTTGCAGGCCTTTCAATTCCTGACAAGATTACATCCTAAGTCCTAGTGAGTGTGGGGTTTGCTCCCTGTTTATATACTGTAATTTGTTCTGTCTCTGTCAGTGGGGGTGTGTTTGTTTTTCTTCTTCTTAGTGTATCCTTGATTAGAATACACCTTTTCAACTTGATTGTCTAGTGCAGGGGTCACCAACCTTTTGGACCTCAGGGAACACCAAACTTATAATTTTAAACCGCTGACCACTAATACGAATCCAATGCGCCGCTCGCTGAAGCACCTGGATTCCCACTGATGGGCTGGGCTACTTCAGGCACTTAGCTTGGCTGCCTGTTTCTGCAACCTTAAATAGCCAGTCATTTGGGTCCGTTTCCCACAGAAAATCAAACATCAGGATCTCTCTCTGTCATCTCTCTTTCTCTCCCCTCCTTTCTCCCTCTTTCTCTCTCTCTTCTCCCCATCTGGGGGGGGGGGGAGGAACTTCTGAACTGGTATTGCCTCCTGCCTACCCTTCTGGCAGCCACAAAGTCTCCTCCTTGGCGACGAGGAAGCATGGTGGGAGAAGCTTGGCAGCTGCCAGAGGGGCAGTGAGCGCTTTGCCTCCCCCCCCCACAACATCTTCACCGGAGGGCATCGCTGGCAGCCGTTTGGCCTCCTCGATGCACGGAGGCAGGACGCAACACCAGTTCAGAGGTCCCTTTTCCTCCACCCCCACCCCCTTGCAGGCCAGTGAACACTCAGGAAGGGCTCCGATGCCGCGATCTCCCGCATCCCTCCCCTCAGGAGCTGCAAAGTACTCACCACCCTCTGGCAGCCGCCACGCCTCCTCCCACCATGCTTCCTCTTTGCCAGAAGCGCTCATGCACCCAGCGGGAAGAAGGCAGCTTGGCAGCTGCCAGAGGATGAGGCAGGAGGCAACACCAGTTCAGAGGTCCCTTTTCCCCCCACCCCCACACAGGCCAGGAAACACCCAGGAAGGGCTCCGATGCCACAATCTCCCATGCACTATCCTCCCTCCCCGCACATATCAGTCCATCCGCTGCCAGTATCATCCTTGTTGCAGACACAGGTGTGCTGTGGGCCACCAAAATTTTCTCAAGGACCACCAGTGGTCCGCAGCCCACCAGCTGGCGACCACTGGTCTAGTGTTAATCCCTGCCTATCCGGATGTTGGCTGCTGAAGAGGACGTGTTCTAGTCTTTTTGTTTGCCTCTTAACTTTTGTTTTGTTTCACCATTTCTGGAGGAAAAAAAATTCAGGAAGGCAACCCTAAATCTTTTCTCTGGTTCACTTGGTTAAAGGGGTTAGGGACAGAAATATTTCGCTAATTCACAAGATAGAAAATTCTACATTTATCTACCCTTCCCAGCGTCCTTTCCCTTTTGCTTACTCAGATGCATCTTTGTGGACTGCAGTTTCTTGAACATCGCAATGCTTCCTCAAGCCGTCATCAAGAGTATGTATGGCTGCTAAAATAGATTCATACAATCGTTCAGCATGGCTTTTAAGCATATCCGAATGTTTTGCAATCAAGCCAAGAGTTTTCTGTAAAACTATTAAGCAAAGAGTAGGATATAAATTATACCATGCAACAGCTCAGTAGCAGGATATAAGAAAGCTTTTCTAAATGCCCATACTAGGGTTACAGGAGTAAGCGCTACAGAATCTGGCTCCTTTGTTTAACCATGTACTGATGAGAAGCGGCAAATATTCTGCCTCTTTCCTATACCTTTACAATAGGACAGGCCTGGTCTGAACATTAAGTCATAATATGTTTTCTCTCAACTTCACCTGAGGAGTGAAGATACCCAGCTTACTCTCCCTTAAAGATTATTGTAATTATTGTAAAGATTATTACAGGGAAGGGAGGAAAGAAACTTAAGCTGCTTGAAAAGAAATGGAATATCAAACTAAATTAATAAATGTATGTTACAATGTGCAATTTAAACTATAATGGCCACAAATACTTCAATGTTCTGCAATTTAATCCTTTACCAGTAATGAATTAAATTTTGAAAACACTTAAGTTTCTCCAAAGCACCCAAACTTGAATTGGTTCAGTTTTTCAGAGAAAAAGTATATGTGTTTCAATTATTTCATTATGTCCTGAAGCTATAATCCTATTTCCTCCATACCCTATTACAAGGGACTGTATCCTTAATTTGGCTTACTTCTGTGTAGTGCTTTAGATCATATCACAAATCTGTTTATTGAAATTTGTGTAACTTAAGGCTGAAATCCTCTATCAAATTACTAGAAGTCCTATTGACAAATATTCTAAGGCTTAAATGCAACTTGCCACTTGCAGGCTCGCTATTTTTAAAACAAGAGCTAGAAATCCTAGTGTTTTAATTTTCCTTAAATGAGGCCGGGCCCCTTTATTAGGTCCTTGCTTAACAATAAATAATTCAGCATTCATGTTTGAATTTATGATGGCATTTGAACGAGTCATACTACCAATTTTTGAAGTTCTGGCTATTGTAGCAACCCTAGTTACATAATTGTGATCTAGGTGCTTGACACCCAGATAATAAATGCAGCTTATAGCATCAAACAGTCATGGGATCACTATTTGTGACTTTCTTTGCCAGCTTTCTGGCAGAGTCAATGGGAAAGCCTGCAGGAGGTCACAAATGACCAGTACATGTAATCCTCACTTAATTAAATAAACCTATGATTAATTATTCACTTAATGATGGCAATTGGAACTGCTGGAATTTCTGTCACCAGATAGCATGTTCACACAACATCACACTTCACAACCACTTGCTTAGCGACAGAAATTCCAGCCCCATTTACAGTTGTTAAGTGAAGACTACTTGCATTTTCAAGCTCCTATATATGTAACTGCTTCCTTACCTGGTGAATTTGTTGACATGCATCTAAGAAGATTTTCACCATCGTGCAACACACTTTCAGTCAATGCTTGGTGCTCAGCTATATCTTTTTTGAATTCCTGTCAAGAAATGTTGTGAAATGTAATGCACAAAGCAGGAAAAATCATAGTAATATGGTTGCTTGCCTAGATCAGGTACCATTCATAAGAATTAACCGCCTTAACTGAATTAGCAGAATTTATGTGACACTGGATCTTTTAAAAATAATTTAACAAATTATGTATTATTCAAACTAGAGGATACTTAAGTTCAAAAAAACTGAGTGAAATCCACTGAGTTTTAAATGCAATAGATTAATTTTGACATACAACCGTCACAATCTTCTCTGGAGAGTCAGAAAATTCACTAAAGCAAATTTGGTGAATGGCATCAGGACAGAGCAAAGAAAAGAGTAAGGGTCACTGCATAGATTTCTTAAGTATTTTATGTAATAGTGAATGTTTGCCAAATATATGTGAGTTATAACATAGGCTTAATTAAAAATGTACTAAAAGTTAATTTTTGATTCTTCAATTTGTTAATGAGGTTGGGCCCCAATAAAATTCCACTTTTACTTGCCAGCATGTTCTCTCCAAATGAATGAACCCTCTCAATTAATCTGCTTAAGATTGCACTGCACAAGTTTAATATCCCCCTACCCCCAATCCTAGTACTGTTTAGCAATCTTGTTGCTTAAGTAGAGAAAGTTTCATTTATTCAAACTTTTTCTCTGTGCAAGTCACCAAGAGTTGTTTTGTTCTGTGTTAGTACAGGAATATGTGTAATATATAATGAAAGAAAACCTGTTCAACATTGTAGCCAGAGAGCAGTAGTTCTGTCCAGTTACTGGCGTAAAGCTAAGTGGTTTCATTGATAGAATGAAGTACTTTTGCAAATTTTGTTTATATTTGAATCTGGTCAACAACTATTGTTCTCTAGGTATACAGCACATCTAGAATTAGAATCAGCATCCAAAATAAAGTATGTAACAGACCAATAAAGCATTATCACTACTGGCAATAAAGTAAGATTCTACAAATGAATTCCATTTTTTTAATATATATGTTTTTGTATGTGCCTCGGATTCAGTGCAGTCCTGGTGACTTCTTGGACTGGTCTTTACAATTTTCTTGACAAGCGTTTCAGAATTGGTTAGTCCTTGCCTCCTTCCTAGGTTGAGAGAGAATGGGTCACCCAGCTGTTTTGGGCCTAAGGCAAAACTAGAACTCAGTCTCCCAGTTTCTAGCTGGTACCTAAACCACTGCCTCAAACTGGCTCTTACAAATACCATACAAGAGATCAGTATTTATCTATGTGGATTAAGAACTTAACTAAAGACATTCAATTCTTTTGATAGATTTCACATCATTTTACAGCTATCTCTCTAACTGCCACTTTCAAGCATCAATTTTGCCAATGCAAAGAAATACATGTGATGACTTAGCATAATCCTTCCAATGTCTTCTACAAAAGGCTGCAAGAAAGGGTTAACAATTGTAGGCTTCCATATTACCCAGGCTGCATACATATGTATGCATTACAAGTGTAATAAAAAATGAAGCCCATTGTTGAAATTTGTGAAGAAAAAAATGCAGTTAGTTACCAAGTAGTTTTGAAATGATGCTTTAACACTCTCAACGTCTGGCTTGGGAGGAATCCATTGATCTATACCTTCTGCCACTTTATGCAGCCAGCGAATGAGCTCTTCCAACTGACAGCAAAACACCTATATAGATAATTCAGAAAAAAGGTTATTCATTCAGCTCCATTCAAATTTGGAATCAGTGGATTTGATTGGCTTAAACTGCACTATTGCCACAGTATGTATCAATTATAAGAAAACAGGAATATTTATCATGAGTATCACAATGTTTGCAAGACTCCAGAGAGTGCTATGTTATATATGCTATAATAAGTATAAAATACTTATTTAGATACTTCAAAACAGTAAAATCAAACATCTCTTACATTAAAAAAAAAACAGCAAAACAGGAATATTCCAGATTTCTGTAAAGAACTTTTCTTACTGAAAAACCATATGGGAGATTATGGAGAAGCATCAGTAGATTCCTAATTACAGCTGAAAGCATTGAAGTTGGCTGCCCTTCACACATTCAAAGTTCAGAAATGAGCCATACCGATAGGATCAAATGGTACCAAGTGAAAATGGTCGGTGACAAAAGCTTTCTAGAGAACTACAAAATTCTTCAGGGCAGGGCATCTCGTTTTGCAAATGTATCACCAGGACTAGGCAACGCATTCAAGGCAATATTTTGTAAAGGGTATTGGTGCAAGCAGAGCACTCCTTTGAAGTGCTTTGTGGCTTTGAAGTTCAGTCCAGCTACTTCAAGAGCTTTCTCGGGACTCTGGACGTTTATCCACAATATTCTGTAATACTGCCCCCAAAATACATATGCAACTGCGGCATACAGAAAGTATGCGTCAAAGAACAGCTTTTCATGAATCCCTACACAGCTCTGTTTATTATGTTGTCATGTTAATTTGTGATAAGCTAACAATATAGAAGACTCCATAGTCCCATCAATGGAGAAAATCCTCAAATTAAAAGAATAGGATTTGGACAGAATAGCACAGGATTTAATAAGTAGTTGACCTTCTTGCTAGAATCCATGTATTTATATCCCTGGAAACTCAGAAGGTATTACAACACTGAATAGAAAAATGTTCCCATTTAAACTAAATGTACGTAAACCACCCATAACACAGGATGTTAATCCCTGTACAAAAGGCTGTATCAAACTCAAAGGAGGAAAAGATATGTGGCCCAGCAGACAAGGTGAGCTGTTAATTTATACTAGCGTGAAAAGTTTGTTAATTCTTCTGAACTATCTATATTCATACAGTTTGGTGATTGACAATATGAGCAGAGCTTCCACAAAGACAATGAACCCCAAAGAAAACTTTAGAGCAGGGGTGTCCAACCTTTCACCTTCCCTGGGCCACATTAGAAGATGAAAATTTGGTTTGGGCCGCACATAAAATAAAATAACAGTAACGATACCTGATCATCCAAAAAAACCATAGAAATATTAAATTTATTTGGAAATGAAGTTAGTGAGATGTTTTTATTATTTATTATTTATTATAAATTATTTTTTATCACGTTTTTTTATCACGGTTTTTTTATCACAGTTTATTTTCCAGCCAAATATTTTTTGGGGGGGAAGCTCGCCCGCCTCGCACCTATCTCTCCTCCTGCAAATGGCCTGGCTGGATGAGGCAGGACTGGAAGGCAGAAGCGGCGGCGGGGGCTGGGGAAGAAGCAGCAGCGGGGGCAGAAGTGGCAGTGGGGGCAGAAGCGGCGGCGGGGGCAGCGGCGGCTGGGGAAGAAGCGGCAGGGGCAGAAGCGGTGGCGGGGGCAGAAGTGGCGGCGGGGGCAGAAGCAGCAGCAGAAGCAGCGGTGGCAGGGGGGCAGAAGCAGCAGAAGTGGCAGCGGCGGGGGCAGAAGCGGCGGCGGGGCGGCGGCAGCAACAGCAGGAGGTGGCACTCTGACGGCACCCGCCTTTTCTGTTGCTGCTTGGCCTGGTGCTCGCCTCGCCCCGCACCTGCCTCTCCTCCTCCTCCTCGCTGGCTCTGGCACGAAGGTTGGGGTGGGCACTGGGCCGCATTATGAGGTGACCTGGGCCGCATGCGGCCCCTGGGCCGCGGGTTGGACAAGCCTGCTTTAGAGTATACATAGTATGTTCAATTTTAACACAATGACCTTCAGATTTTTTTTAAAAAATTACCTTAATACACTGTGCAAGAGAGTAATGTTCCTTCTTTTCCTTGATAGAAAGGAACTCTGGGCATCTCATTTCAGGAAAATCAGAGCTAGCAGTTTCTCTTGGCTCGCTTTCCTGTTCCTTGCCGGCCTGATCCCTGAGAATGTCTATCTCATCAAGTTCTTGGAAATTACATGTATGGAAGGAGTCAGAATACAATTCCCACTGGCTCTCATTGCCATCGCTATCTCCTTGAACCTCTGACAGGAGCTGCTCCCCATTCACACTGATGCAGGGGAAGTCATCTTGTACCTGGCCAAGTTCAGGTTTCTTTATAGTCAGTGTAAGATCCGATAGCTGCTGCGCCAGTGTCTCTAACTCCTTGAGTCTTGGTGGTAAGGAGAGATATTCATCATCACTGGCACATTCTTTCCGTAAGGGCAGTACACTTGTGGAGCGCAAGAAGTTTCCACTAGCAGCTTTTCTCCCCCAAAGACACCCATGTCTCTTTTTGTGGCATTCCTTCTCAATTACAAAAGTGGAATTAGATAGCTCAGGGTACCCAGGAGATAAACTAGGTGACATCCCTTCAGAAAGGCCAACTCCACCATCTGCCAGGGACATTTTCCCAATGGGGGATATTCTGTAGTGTGAAACTGGAACTGAGCATTCAAGCTTTTTCAAGAAAGGACTTGAAAGTCTCTGTGAGGTAGAGCTCTCCCTGGTTTGGTGTTCTTGGTCCCACATACTTGTAGACTTCAAGGTGCTCTCGGGGGAAATGGAGAGGCTATCAAGATCAATTCCAGAATCATGGACAGTGGAATCTTTGAGATTTTGGAGAAGCTTGTATTTTGGACGTAAAGGGTAAGTGTAATCAAGCAAGTCCTCGTATTCCTTATTAGGATTCCAAAGTGGGGACTGACGGTCTGGCGATGGTGGCAGAGAATCGGGTATTGCACATGCCCAGTAATCAGCCTGGAAGGTGGACATCCTTCTCATCTGCCCCACAACAGAACAGCTTCTTGAGGGTAATGGTTTCTGCATGCTCAGTTTGGGACTTTCTTCATAGTCAGTCAGATTGTTTTGATACCAAGGAACAGGCATTTCATATGATGGACAGGCCCCAGTAGCTGAAACGCTTCTTGATCTTTTCAGTTCCTGTGGTTCAAAACCAGTGTCCACCAAAGGCTGTAAGGAACTGAAACTCTTAGGCAATACAGACATTTTGGCACTAAAGTATGGGCTTCTTTTACCTGATAAATGCCTCGGAGTGGATGAATAAGGGATAACTAGTGCTTGTCTCCTACAGTCAGTATCAAGATTGCTAACGGATCTGGCGGCAGGACTAATAAACGTAGCACCTGGAGCTTTTGTTGAGGGAGCTCTTGGAAACTCCAGCATACCGTGAAATGGCTTAGTTCCATCCGAGCACTTTACCATATCCCTCTGAACGGTTGGTTGGTTTCATAAAGGAGAAAACAAAAAAGAAACGTCATATTCCAGGACATCTAATTCAGATTAGCTAACTGCCTTTAGTTTAACTCACAAGAATCAAGTCGATGTTTATATGGATTTAAGCAGCGAGCTGTGACTACTACATCCATCAGCAGATGGATTCTTTTTTTATTATTATTAAATAAATAAATGTATATCCCATTCAAAATTCAGATTCATAAGGCACATCAGGTTTCATATAAAATCTACCTTATTTTATCCTTCCTTATGATTTAAACCTAACACCAATTTGCATATCATGTATGACAGAAAGCTAAGAAAATGTAAATATGCCCACTCAAATCCTGTTTGACAAACCAGCTGCAGGAGCCGTGCAACAAGGGACCAATTATTATACTAAAGAACAAAGCATAATGTGCTTTGTTTGGCTAATGGCTTCCTCCTCTGGTTCTTTCAGGAAAATGAAGTCTGGATCCGACACTTTCACATCATGCTAAGCTTGGCTAATCAATGCTTGTCAGCCATTCTGACTTACTCAGAGCCATTCAATGCATTCTGGAACAGCACAGCTGTCTCCAAGATGCCTTAGACCTTAGTGTGATGTACAGACAGAGCCATAGCTGCGAACAAGGATTCACACTTTCTTTGGAAAAACCAGGCCTGCAATAGTCTTGTAATCAAGAACTCTGGAGAGGGCTAATATCTTTTATTAAAGCAGAAAACTGTACTTCTTCCATTTAAATATGTATTGGAATAAAAACACTAGTAAACTAAGAGATTTTTGTTACATTTCTGCATGAAACAGAAAACCAAAGAAAGAAAAAAACCCCGGAGAATCTAAATGGATGGCAGGAGGAGGGAGGCAGAGACAACGTGCTTTATATTAATTAAGCTTTCAACATACAATGTATGTATCATAACCAAAGTTTCAATTTTTCACAGTAAGGAGATATAAAATATACATCAGCATAACTACTGTTCCAACTATTTACTCTAGGTATTTTGTCAGAGAATTTAGTGTTTCCCAAGATTTCACATGACTTTAATAGAGGTAGGATTCAACCAGTGTTACTACTGGTTCGGTGACTACATTTTGCGCGTGTATATAAAACCTTAAGCTATGCCGCCCGAACAGCTGAAAAGTGCTGTGCGCAGGTGCCACTCAAAGCAGCTGAGTTTGAAAAAAGCAGGAAATAAAGGACAGGTAAGAGCCCAGGCGGGCCAAACAGCAGCAAACACAGAACTGGTTCGGCGTCTGCTGCTCTTCAGAGCTACTGGTTCTATGGAGCTGAGCAGAACTGGTAGCATCCCACCCACCCTGGATTTTATTTTTCCAGCGTTCTCCTTCCCCACTAGAGACTACATGAATTAACAGAACATTATTGATCAAAGTCTCCCAACAGTTGTATCTATGGTGGAAACCAACACTCCTCTTAAACATTCGTAACATCAAATAACAGCGTAAATGCAAAATGAGAAATACAATCCCTTGGCATCATTGTTCACTTAGATGCAGAGTGAAATGTAAGAAAGATACCCTAGCCATACCCTTGTTTAGAAATACAGATCCTGCTACGTGTCTAAAGGGTACACACCCCTTTTATGAACCTCTATAAATTACACCAATAGCAATGACATTTAATTTTTTAAATAAAAGAATCCATACATTCTTTTGCAGTAAGAAGATTAGCATAATTAAGAGAAAAAAATGCTCTTACCTGCTGCTTTTCAGAACACAAATAACTTCTGTTAAAATGCCGCATGTCACTGCCATTAAGGATTTTGTCAATTAGTAGCTTTTTTTCTAAGTACTTTGGTTTTCTTTTGTACAATCTGTTAAAAAGCATCAAAAATATTTATGCTTTTGATTCCTCACTAAAACACTAGAAATAGTGCAACCATTTTCCTCTATAGCTATGGAGTTTTTGTACTCCATTCTTTTATAGGTTTTCCTTTCTTAACTGTTCAAAGTTCCAACAGACCTTCCCCTTTCTCCCTCCCCTGCCCCCCAAAAAGTTATGACCTGGTTCTGGAGTTCTGACAGGATCCCACCCATGGACATATGATTGCATTTTGGGCTCCTGGCAACTGGGTTAGATTTACAACATCTATTTGCAGCATCCCACTGTCACTTAACTGCATTGTTTGACATTTACTTCATGTTTCTGGAAAAAAAATGCTCATTAGATAAAATGGGTTCATTTAAAGACCACAGCATTTGTTAAGGGCCACTGGAAAAAAGGTCATAAAATTGGTCACGGTTTCATGGTGACTTGCTTAATGACCATTATTCCAGGCTTAATTGCAGTTGCAAATTGAGGGTTTCTTTAAGTGCCAGCTCTTCATCTTCTGCATCCAAGAGTTAATGACTTTTCCTAATTAACTCAAGACAACACAAGTCTAATCCTGCAGGATTTTACCTACTATCACACCTGACCCTCATACAGCATCTAAAGGAGACCTTTTCACCATCTATAAAACAAGTTTGTTTAATTTCAATCTCAAATCTGCAACAACAACATAAAATCCAAAATAATGATTTCCCAAGCACTAAGCTTGCATTGTTATGCCATCTCCTAGGCACTATCTTCAGTGGGACTGAACTTCATGTGAAGATCCAGCTAATTTCACTATAGATTTTAAGCTGGATACATGTTTACTTGGGATGAAGTTCTGGACAGACAGGAGAGGGAGGAAAAGGAAGTTGTTATGGAGGACATGAATTGATTATTTTAGAACTGCTTTCATCAATGTTTACCTAATGTTATAAGGGCCTGGCTTAGCACATACACCCTTTTGAAACAGAGACCAAATCAAATGAATTTTGTGCTATTCACATAAAGATTTTATCAGGTATCCATTGAACCCAGGATACGTGAAAGTTACATCATGGTTGGCTATAGATGCAACTATTCTAAATACGTAGTCTAAATATAATGCATGGTTAAGTACAAAGGCTGATCACAGGTTATTCCTTAAAAATTATACTAACACCAGTTCCAAACTGACACTATGTTTTCACAGAACTTATGTCCATCTCATCACCACACCAGTGCCAAAACCACACCAGCAGCCTTCAAATCTTTTTTCCTGCTTCCTCTTGTAAGTTGTAGGAACATCCTCAACCTTTGCCCTCCCTATCTGCCACCTCCTGTTACATTGTCATCAGACAGGAAACACTTGCTTCCATGTTCTTTCAAACAGGGATCTCTGTCAAAACCGGCAACCAAGGGAAAAAGGAAGGATGCAGAGAAGGAGAGACAATTGGAGATACTAAAAAAGAAACAAAGGAATTTACACTTGCCAAAAAAAAAAAAAAAAACCCTCAACCCCAGCCAATCACATTTTCTGGTTCAAATTAAATAATTCACTTATTTAATTTGCTGTGGTTTTAACTCAAATTTGGTTTCTTAAGAAGAAATGAACAACCGGGAATATTAGCCTGGAGCTTAAGGATGAACAAGATACTGCTCAGTCCAGGTAAACGGCTGTGTGGGATTCTGACTCATCAGAGAATAGTACACTTGTCACCAATGTGGTCAAAGGCGAAGTTTAGAAACAAAAGGCCTGGATTTCATCATAGGTAAACATCTTCCAATGTATCTTTTTATGTGTGCCTTCTGAAAGAGCAAATCTATCAGGAAGCATTAAATACAAGACAATTCCTCATGTTCTAGCCACTGTTAACATGAGCATTTGTTTCGTTCCAGGCTATCTTCATGTCCTGCCTGAGTACAAACAAAGCTGCAGTATTAATGCCCACCAAGTTCCTCCTCAAATATGGTGTGACTATTGTTGCTTAGCGCAACAATGATCTGCCTCACTACCACATAATACATCTAAACTGGCTGTCAACTAATCTGTTCTCATGCCAGCCCAGCTTATGCAGCTACCCAGCCTTCAAAGACCCCACCCCCTGCTCCCTGTAGAACTAGGCAGACATCTGAACTAAAGCTCCCACAGGCTTTTGCCATCAGCCAGGCTGGGTCCTGGGAGGCATCAGAATTGTTGTGACCTAGGCTTCACAAAACAGATTCCTTGTCTCAACAAAAACCCCTTTTTATTAGGCTAGGGTGAATTCCTATCATTCACATCCAGCAGAGTCCTGGCAAACAGTCTTTCAAGGGTGAATTACAACCACAGACCTTATCAGGTTTGGAGAGTTGCCAGGCCGATAGCTTCCAAGTGCAAAGCTGTACAAGAAAATACTTGGCAAAGAGTCTCTGAGAGTCACGAACAAATCTTCACACTAATGAAACAAACTAATTATCTCCTGCAACCACCACTCCCCTTTCGTTCCTCTTTATTCCCTATGGGAGGAGCCACTTACCTTCCACCTGTGCCTTTACTCTTGTTCCTTAATTGGTCCCTTCTTCTGGCAACTCTGTGCATGTGCACATCAGGAACAGCCTCCAGCTGTTCTTCTGCCTCACTGATCTCTGACTCTGAAGGCAGCTGATAACTGTCTGATGGGTCTGGTCCCATCTCTGCCTCCGACACAGAGCACTCATCAGAGCCTACTCCAGGACTGGTCCATGTTCCTCCACAACCTCCTCACTGTCTGAGACTGCCGCCAGCTCTGCTGGCTGGCCACAAGAATACTCGGACCTGTGTTGAGCTGCTACAGGCCACATGGACTCCATTTAATCCCCCAGAACTTCACCAACTGGTACAAAGAACCTCTCAGCACATATAATTATTACACACTTCAAGGTAAAGTTTTGCAAAGATATGAGCAGTAATAATGCATCTTTCTGAACAACCCCCTTTATGCATTTTCCCATTCCTGCAAGCAAGACCAAGTGCAACAAATAGCTCAAAAGCTAACCAGAGATTAGCATTTTGTGAAAAGTTCAATTCACACTTGAAAAGAGTTTGCAAATGAGCTCTCTGGGGGAAAAGCCAAAGGCAGTGCTGCCTTGTTTCAAAAGAAGGACCCTCTTGTATTACAGCTGGAGGAAGCCTTCCAGATTCTAGACTCTGCACTCTGCTTCTTCCTCCTACTAATGCAAAACACTGAATTGAATGTTCTCTAGGCATTCAACTTGGCTTTTACTTTGTGTCAGCAGTTAAAATAGTCAGTTTTAAAATGAGATTCACACATTCATGGCGGGAAGAAACAGCCTCTGTGACTCTATTTAACCTTCAATAAAAGACAATATATATCATGGTAGCAGTTGCAGAATAGAAGATGTAAGACAGCACATGTTCACTTTGTAGGGCTTCTACCTAGCCACTATGGGAGACTACCGTATGATGGATGACATGAGATCCTTTGAACTGGCTCAACAGGCCAGTCCTCTTACTGTCAACTTTGGCTGCTCAAAATCAGAGGTGGTATTCAGCAGGTTCTGACCAGTTCTGGAGAACCGGTAGCAGAAATTTTGAGTAGTTCAGAGAACCGGCAAATCCCACCACTGACTGGTCCCACCCCCATCTATTCTCTGCCTCCCAAGTCCCAGCTGATCAGCTGAGTCTTCTTTTGTTGCCCTGCACAGGAGAACGGAGCTGGAAAGCAGGTTAATGGGGTGGGGAGGAAATGGGGATTTTGCAGTATCCTTCCCCTGACATGCCCACCAAGCCACGCCCACTGAACCGGTAGTGAAAGTTTCTGAATTCCACCACTGCTCACAATGATAGTGATAACATATAGAATATTTTAGGACTCTCCTTATACATGAAAAAAAAACCACCACCAGAATCTAGATACTGCATTATATGATATGATAAGCTTTCTTGTGATCTTTTCAAGTGGCAATCTTTAAGGACCAAAGCCACCAGAGAAAGCATCTGATGAAGGCCACCATTCTATTTTTGTTCTACTGTATCTCAAGTCCACAGCTATGACCCAAAAGCCGCACGATAGATTCCGTGTCGAGTACCGGTAACTCAAGACAGTAAACAAGTTAAGGTAACTGGAAGCAAGTCAACAGAGAATCGAAACATGACAGGGCAAGATGATTTTTGACCTTCCATTACAGATTTTACATTACAAGGAAACAAAATACGTTAACAGAAGGCCTATATGCTATTTTGATACACTGGGCTGGCAACCTGAAAATGAGAGAGGATGGGTCAAGAACTGCTTGGCTACTTTGGGATGACAATTCATTCCTGATCTCTCCTCCCCCCTACCCCATCCCAAGGGCAACGTTGGTAAAAATGCTCCCTCTGCCCTCCATAATAGCAATGTAATAATATAATCATGAAGATAATATAATTTCCAAGTGGCTTTTTAGAAACAAACCACACACTGCAATCCTAGTATTACAAAAGATAAAAAAGCAAATGAAATGCTTCAAGTATTCTGAATTGCTTGCACAATAAATCTAATGTTCAGCTTAAAGAGGTGATGGTGCCAAAGGAATCAGAAAGCTGCCACTCCCAATGTTGGCAATCATCTAAAAGTACAAAAAAAAATGTAAAATAAGCATTTACAAGCAGGAAATATTAATTATATCTGAACTGGCCCTAAGACTATGTTCAATGCCCTTTTCCAAATATACATTATTTGAGCATCTGTTATTCCACCATCATGGGAGCTCAAGGTAGTCCAAGGATAGGAATTACAATTAGAATTTTTATAATCATTCAACAAAAATTTTGAGATTCCTACTGGAACATAGGATATTAATAATTAATAAGTACTCCCCCCCAATATTCTTAAAACTATAACAGGCTTCTCTTGATTAAATAAGTTTATCGTCCATCGCATTATGCTATTAGAGCCAAGGCTACAACCATGCTAAAGGGAAACAAACTTCATAAAAATATTTTCAACTACACAGAACTTTTAAAATTTTTAATGAAAATTATAACTTAAAATTGCTCTGGAAACTCAATTTCCCATTCATTCTGAATCAGCCCACCAATATAAATTACCCTTTCAATCCTGGATTCACAAATGTAGTTTTGTTTTGTAAATTGAAGACTAAAAAAACCCAATAAAACGTGGAATAGAAATAGCTTCATACTGTTGAAATGTGATTTTTTGCTCACTGAAAAAAATGGCTTACAACCACTGTAGCATCCTCATGGTCATGTGATCAAAATTTGGGTATTTGGCGAAGGGCATGTATTTACAATGCTTCAAATGTTCTGGGTCACATGCCATTTTCAATCTTCCCAGCCAGCTTCCGACAAAGTCAATGGAGGAAGCTGGTTTCACTTCACAATTGGATCATTCACTTAACAATTGCAGTGATTAGCTTAACATGATGAAAAAAGTTGTACAATCAGATGTGACTCACTTAACAACTGCTCCAGTTGTGGTCACAGGTTGAGGACAACCTAAATGCTAGCATATGACTGTTCCTTCAGATTTAGATGTTTTCATTACTAGGTTTTCCTTTAAATGAAAAAAGCAGCTTCAGAGATTCTTGAAATGAGCCTCTGAAGAATTCTAGAGTATAATTTTTTTTAGAAACTCTTAGCCACTATTCAGCATTAAGTGATAGCTTGTGTCTTCCACAGCACAGGTATACAAATAGAAATCTCAATAAATAAATTCATAACACTTACTGATGTTCAACCTAATACTGCATTTTCATCCTGATCATTTAGAAATTATGTATTTAAAAATTACATACTCACAAGTTCTAATTTGTTTGCCATTGAGTGCCAAAATGATCGCAATATCATTTCAACCAGTTATTTCAACCAGTTATTAATGACTATCATATAAAGAAGTGTCTTGTTATTTAAAAAAAATTGTGAGAAAGCTAATTTTCTGGTTTAGCCTACAATCTTGGTATTTCATTATAAAACAGGCTCAATCCCATACAACCTTTTTGAGATCACCCACATATCCACTTGATTTTCTATAGGATTTACCAACATTAGCAATTCTACAATCAACTTTGACAGGAGAAGAGAATTTTATACCATCCAAGGCAGGAGTGTCAAACTCAAGGCCCATGGGACAGATTCAGCCTGTGGGGCCACCCTGGAAACAGCAGAGGACTGGCCTGCAGTGCCAGCCCACGGATGTGCCCCCCCCTCCCCCGAGCTCCGTTTTTGCTGGCAGAAGTCTAGCAAAACAAACTAAAAAAAATAGAAAAAGAGAAATGTTTCCCCTTGCACATCTGAGCATGCAAGAAGGGACAGGAAATAAGAAAGGGAAAGAGGAAAGAAAAAGAAAGATGGGGAGAGAGCAAGGAAGGAAAAATAAGGAAAGAGGGGAAGAAGAAAGGAGAATGAAGAGGAAAGGAAAAAGAAAAGGAAGGGAGGGAGGGAGATAATACAGTGTGAGGGAGGGTCTGAGGGAAGTCCTGCCTTAGCACTTGGCCACCACAGGTGTGCCCACACGAGTTGAGCTGGGTACGCCCACCCAGGCCCTCTGAGGTGAAACACAACCCTGATGCAGCCCTCAATGAAATCGAATTTGACATGATCCAAGGTAAGACTACGATTTCCACAGTATGCATGCTTTCAACACTAGTGAATTTGGATTCAATTTAGGGACAGCAAATAAACTATAGGTAGTCCTCGACTTATGACCACAATTGAGCCCAAACTTTCTGTTGCTACGTGAGATATTTGTTAAGTGAGTTTTGCCCCATTTGATGACCTTTCTTGACACGGTTGTTAAGTGAATATTGTTTCTCCACTGACTTCACTTGTCAGAAGGTTAAGGAAGATGATCACACAACCCCAGGATAATCCAACCATCATAAATATGAATTTTGATCACATGACCCACGGGCGTGCTACAATGGTTCTAAGTGTGAAAATGGTCGTGTCACCTTTTTCACTTTGAACGGTCACTAAATGAACTGTTCTAAGTCGAGGACTACCTGTTTTTCCACTTGTCTTGGTTAATTAATTTCCCACCTACTGAAAGATGTAATAACTTACTAATGTAAAAACTTACTAACATGTAAACAGATTAAATTAACAGCTGCATTTTACATGGCCTGAAAAGCCATAAGATCAGCTTTTGTTCGTCAATTCTTCTCAGCCAGGTTCAGAAGGGGTTTTATACTACAATTTGCATGTCTATAGACTTCTTCCACACCCCCATCAAGAATAGTATAACTCTGCACAGAAGCAAATCACATTTTCCAGTTTAACTCCATATTTTTAGCCATGATGAACAGTTCCTGCAAACTTTTAAGCCTGCATATTATTTGGTAACTCACAGTCTTCATAAAATATTGGCTTTACCGTACTGTTGGATTTCCTTTTTCTACAATTCTTTAGCGTGATATACAAAGCCAGCTTCTTTCTTTTTCGTTCTCTTTCTCTCTTTCTTTCCAGACTGGCTACCCAAATCCTAGACCATTCAACATGGGATAGGTTGCGGGGGAGAGAAGAAAATAAACGCTTTTGCTTTACAGTGCATCTTGTGTTGTTGTTTTTTTCTTCTTCTCTGCTAACAGAATCGAGCTGCCCATCATTCCCACCCAACTAACCAAGCCCTTGGATTCGTAGCGTTCCCGGAATTTCTGGAGACTTTTGACTGCCGTCGGAAGGAATTCTGTTTCTCGGTGAAGATATTCAGCTCCACAAGTGGTCAATTGCACGCTCTGAAACTGCCATCCGAAAGACCGCTGGCACTTTAAAGCCAAACGAAGTCAGACTCGGCCGACAAAGAAGAACCCGGGATACGTGGGTGTGAGCCATAATACATGCATGTGCGTCCGCTTTTATCAAAGCAAAATTGTTATCAAGCCAGACGGAAAAACCAAAAGTCCCCCCCCCGCCACCTCCCGTTTCCACGTTTTGCCCACCCAGAGAAACCTGCTGCTTGCTACACTTGCAAACAGTTTTGAGATGCCCAAACCGAAGCAGGGAGGCAGGGCTGCAAAAACAAAGGCGCTCTCCAGTTGCTATCAACTTGCAAGAGTTGCTCGGCCGTTTCCCGCCCGAAATAAAGAGCGGAGGCGTCTGTAAAAGGGAAGCCCGCCGCCCCCCCGTCCCCTCCTCGCCCACCAAGCATAAGGACGATCCATAAGTCGGGTACGCTCGGCCCGATTCTGTCCTCGCAAGACAAGGGACACCATTTCCCGCAGTCACTACTACAAGCAGCAATTTCAGGCCCAGCAAAAAAACTGCTTGGCCCCGACCCGGAAAGCTTGAGAAGGAGGGAAAAGCAACCCTATCTTTACCCAATGAAGAGCCCGCAATGCCAGGTCGCTCCTTTCACTCCTCCACCTCGGAAAGCCTCCGCCGACGCGGCCAAACCTTCCCCACCTCCTCCGGTGGCAACAATAAAAAAAAAACGCTGCTTCGCTCGTGCGAGGCTGTGCGCACGCGCGCTCCCGTCCTCCACGGAGCAGCTTCTTTTTTCCAATCAGCTCCTACGGCGCTGAAATTGGACACGGGGAGAGCGGGCTGGAAAGTCCGCTGTCTCGGCCAATGGAGAGTCGGCTGCCTTGGCTAGACGGGGTGGGTGGTGGTAAAGCTCGGATATTTAACCTCGGGTCTGGGCCCGTGGAGGTTTTAGTCTGAGGCGGTTTCTCAGGGGAGTAGTCCTTCGCGCCATGAAAGGGAAGGAGTGGAACCCCCACCCCCCGTTAGCTGACGAAGAAGTAAAAGGAGGAGGAGGAGGAGGAGGAGGCGCAGCGAGAGGGAGGACATGCATGCTTAAGGCGACCAACCGTCCTTTAGGGAGGACAGTCCTCCTTTTGTAAGTTCTGTCCTCCCTCAAAAAGCGTCCTGTTGTGTGTGATGTGACGTATTTGACAAGGCTCGGTACGGTGCGGCGAGACGCGATTATGAGACGCATGCGCTGGTCCACACAGGAGAATTGTCTTGAGGGAGTGCGCCGTGCACAAGTGGCTTTGTTTTTGTTTTTTCTTCAGTTTATTCGTGTCCTCCTTTTCATTGTAAAAAAGTTGATCACCTTATGCATGCTCCAAGTGTCACCCCTCCCCCTCCATTTTTTTTCGGCTTTGCATAGTGAAGGGAAGGGGCGCATTGGGAAGGGCAAGACGGCTGGGACCGGGGGAGCCAGGAATGAGTGGCGGGCGCAAGCAAGGAGATGTTGAGTTGGCTCCTATACATATAACATATGTATATATATATATATATATATATGTTTTTGGAAGTTTTCGCGGGTACTTACATGTATGGCATTCAGCTTTGTTCGGGTATTTTCCCACATCATTGTAGTTGTGCTTTTAAAGTGCTTTAAAAGCATAACTACTGTTGCGATATGACACATCAGTAGGAAGTCACGTACACAGACAACCCAATACACATACAATACATATATAGGGTGACACTATAGGAACAGCTACGTGTAAAACCTGAGTCACTTAGGATTAACCATATATGGCAATGTTTCCTGTTCCTGTACAAAATCCTGAGTCAGCTATAGCATAAGGATTAACCATATATGGCAGTGTTTCCTGTTCCTGTCTAACCTCATGTAACCTAAACCCACCCCCCTGCTTGCTGCACAATAAAAGAGAGGGGCAAAGTTTGCTCTGGGCTCTTTTTCCTCTCACCAAAAGAAACCTTTGTGTCTGTCATCTTTGCCATCAAGAGGAGCCCACCCAGACAGTCTGTCTGGGTGCAGGTCGTCAGCTGATTCATCCTGGTACTGGGACCCGCAACTCATCAAACTACAATGACGTGGGAAAATACCCGAACAAAGCTGAATGCCATACATGTAAGTACCCGCGAAAACTTCCAAAAACAAAGCACACACACACACACACACACATATGTGTGTGTGTGTGTGTATATACATACACACCCCTCTGGCTCAACACTCAAATGTCCTCGGACTGGTGGTCGGTGAGTGGGGGACTGTTCTGGTGTAGGATAAGAGAGGACGCAACAAGGGGCAAAAAAGTTTAATTTTGAAGTCCAGGTTACGTACCTGACGGGACCCTTTCATAAAGGAGAATATTTGTAGCTCAGTGTTGACATGAGGGGCTCCTTGGTGCTCTCTGAACTTGCTTGTACCAAAGTTGTGTTTTTTTGTTTTTTTTCCTAAGAGGCACTGGACTTTCTGGGTTTTTTTGGAAGACGTTTGGCTTCTCATCCGAGAAGCTTCTTCAGCTCCGAATGAGATGAAATTGGATGAGAAGCCAAACGTCTTCAAGGGAAAAACCAGTTGCCTCTTGAAAAAAGCATTTTTGGGAAAACCGTGAACTGGATGGCTGAGACTATCAGCTTGCTTTTTTTCTTGCACCCATTTCATTACCGAAACTAGTTATCATCATCAGTGCTAGTAAGAAGTGGGGTTTGCTTGTCTGTATTCTAATCTAGTGGCTTGCCTGTTTGTGGGGATGATTTTAAGAGATTCTTTGGGAGCACCAAGGACCCCTTACAATCCAGCAATCTTGGATACAATAGTGGTGGGTACTAAAAGAATAAGGCCTTTTGCGGAAGTCTATCTTTTCAATGGGCTTTCTAGGGGAAAAGGGGGTGGGGCACAGTGGCTAAGACGCTGAGCTTGTTGATCAGAAAGATTGGCAGTTCAGTGGTTCGAATCCCTAGTGTCTTGTAATGAAGTGAGCTCCCGCTACTTGTCCCAGCTTCTGCCAACCTAGCAGTTCGAAAGCATGTAAAAATGCAAGTAGAAAAATAGGGACCACTTTGGTGGGAAGGTAACAGTGTTCCGTGCGCCTTTGGTGTTTAGTCATCCCGGCCACAGGACCACAGAGAGGTCCACGGAGATGTTTTCGGACAGCGCTGGCTCTTCGGATTTGAAGCGGAGATGAGCAACGCCCCCTAGAGTCGGGAACAACTAACACATATATGCGAGGGGAACCTTTACCTTTTACCTTCTAGAATCTAGAGAAAGATCTGTGCTGCCCTTTTGTCATAATGTTTTAAATCCAAGTATGTTTCACATGTTGTGCTACTGTGTTTGGAGGGCCTTTTCAACGTGTTAACACATCTTGCGGGTTTTTCCCTTGTAGGATTTTGTTTTAGTAAGTGCAATTCTTCTGTCGATGGTCCTTGGAATAATTTATCAAGGAAATATTTAATAAACTTGTAAAAAATCAAAACACCATTATTATACACCATTATTGTGTATTATTTTTTGTTTATTGCTGACAATTGTCCGGAAATAGCACTTTTAATTTTGTTAGTCTCCCAGAAACTATCATTTGATTGCAGATTTCAAAAGGCACTGAAAACTGCAGAAGGAAATGGCAAATTGGAAATTCTGCACAATAGTTGGAAAAAGACATTACCACAAGCATCCATTTTCAAACATTCTCGCTTTTTCTGAACATTGTCATATTTAGTGTAGCCAGCTGTTACTGTGTCAACTGCTAGTGACCTGCCGCTGCACCAGAGAACATTTTAACATACTGCACCTCTGTATGATTTGCCAATTGCACAGTGGCAGATAGGACAGCACTCCAGAGGGTTAATGTCATTGCCCAGAAGATCATTGGTTGCCCTCTCCTCTCTTTGGAAGAGCTTTATAGCTCCCACTGTCTTAAGCAAATTCAAAACATTCTCAAAGATCCATCTCATCCTGGGAACCCTTTTTTTGAACTATTACCATCTGGCAGACGGTACAGGATAATAAGAACAAGGATAAATAGGCTGAAAAACAGCTTCTATCCCAGGGCAGTAGCTCTTTTGAATTCTGCTGTATAGTGCAGTGTTGGTGTGGTGTCGGGGGCTTCTGGTTCAATGTGTGAAGGGTGAAGGATGTGTGTTTGTGTTTATTTTCATGGTTATGGTCATGATGTGCATTGAAGATGATGTTTGATTTCGTTGTATGAGGTGCAATGAAAATAAACTAAAAAAAAGACATTACCACAAGCATCAATTTTCAAACATTTTTCTGAACAGTTAGTCATATTTAGTGTTTTCAGCTGTTACTGTGTTTGCAGTATTAAACAAAATACAGTCTCTGGTCTAGTTCATTTCATTTTTTAAAAATTTAAACCTTATTTAAGATAATACCAAGCTCTGTTTATATAAAAAGTGTCTATTTTCACTGTATTTCTTTTTTTTTTTTTGCCTGCCAATGAACCAGTGTTTTTTCTCTTAAGGGTGAAGACAGATCTAGATAGCACCTAAATATATTTTTAAAACTGAAGAATCAACCGCTTTGTTTCTGTGTTCCTACAATCATATATTATATCCTGGGTGCAGCCAATACCCATATCTTTATCAGGTACAGCCCATGTAATACAAATATCTGGAGTTTACTCTCATACCATTATAAATGTATGTATTATCCCTTCACACATAGCATTTGTGCAGTTCCTGGATTTGCTGTATAATGATCTAAATGCTTCCATTGCCACTGAGTGGCAGCTGATCCTTCAGTGCAATAAGCATCCCTGCAAACACAATTTGAAGCAAAACAATTGCCAGTTAAGGACAAATTATTTCCTATTGGTGGGAATTCCTAGTCACCCAATTCTTGTCCTTCATTCTGTGTATCTTTTAAGTCATTACAGTGTCATAGAGTCCCAATGCTGGCTTTCCCGAATCAGAGGGTAGCTCTGCTGTTCATTTATTTTTACTTTATTTTATTTTGTTTTATTTTATTTTTATTTGTCAATTGCTTACAAGATAATAGGTATAAGTAAAAACATAGTTATGAATACATGGATACATATAAGAAAAATAAAAGAAACAATAGAACAGAAATGGTAGACACATTGGTGCGCTTATGCATGCCCCCTACAGACCTTTTAGGAAAGGGGTGAGGTCAATAGTAGACAGTCTAAGGTTAAACTTTTTGGGGTGTGGGGAAGAAATCACAGAGCCAGGTAGAGTATTCCAGACATTGATCACTCTCTTGCTGAAGTCGTATTTCCTGCAATCAAGTTTGGTGTGATTAACCTTGAGTTTGTATCTATTGTTTGCTCTTTTATTGTTATGGTTGAAGCTGTAGTATTAATTGGCAGGTAGGACATTGCAATGTATGATTTTATATACTATACTTAGATTGGACTGAAGGCAGCGTAGTTCTAGATTTTCAAGGTCTAGAATTTCAAGTCTGGTGGCATAAGGTATTCTACAACGAATAGAGGAGTGGAGAACTCTTCTTGTGAAATATTTCTGGACTTTCTCAACTGTGTTAATATCAGATACGTAATGTGGGTTCCAGACTGATGAGCTGTATTCGAGTATTGGTCTAGCAAATGTTTTGTATGCTCTAGTTAGTAGTGTGATATTACCAGAGAAAAAGCTACGTAAGATTAGGTTAACAACTCTTAATGCCTTTTTGGCTATGTAGTTACAGTGGGCTCTAGCACTTAGATCATTAGAGATGGGTACTCCAAGGTCCTTGACAGAGTTTGGATCATCAACAAGGTCTTGACTATTCAG